ACGAAGGCTGACGCTACGCGATAGAGCCTTGACGTCGAGCGGTGGCTTTGCTGATATGTCAAAATGTTCTATTTAATCAAGTTCTCTTGAAGGAAACTGGGTCTTTGGTGGCTTGGAGACACAAATTCGCTATTTGAAGCTTATGGAGGTTGTTTGGGACTTGTGGGAACATCCTCTTCTTCCTCCTTGTGTCTCCTCCTTCTTTCATCTTTCATTTTGTAAGCTTGAGACCTCCATGAAAATGGAGAGCTAAACCCATCTTATTAGGGGTATTTTGTAGTCATTGAATTCTCATGTACTATGTAAATGCTTTGAGTATTTATATGTCTCTTCCATTTAAATGTTAATTTCTTGTTTCTACTATTAATGCTTGCTTGAAATAGGGACGTGAATAACTTGATTTGCGAATTTGCTAGGTTTTAGGAAGAATCTAGTGAACCCTAGGCTTGAAGCAAGAGATCTAATGGAACTTGTGTCTAGGAATGGAGCTTAACCATTAGTTATCCTAAACCCTAGATCTTAATGCGGGTTTACTTGCTACTTATCTAAGGGATTGGTTCTTAGCGAGAAAGTCTAGGCTCTTTCACCTAAGGGATAAGGGTTTGAGTGTTTTAGTGGGTTGACATTAGTGTTTAGTAGAGAAATGATGTTTCTATGGGTGCACAAGAGTGAAGCCGATGAATTTTTCCCTTAGCATGCCATTCCATTCCATTTTCTGACCTTTCCCATCTTCTAAGTGCCTCAAGCTATCAAAGTCCATCTTTAATTCTTTGTTCATTTATTTTCTTACACATAATTTTACACTCTTTAGTCCATATATGTTATTAATCGTACAATTCTTTAGTATTACAAGAGTGTCTTGAGAAACAATACTTGGTCTTACAATTTTATATTCCTTAAGTGATGTGGTACACTTGTTGAGGAGCGTAAACTCTCAACCTCTAGCTTTTCCTACGTATCAGGTGACTCCAACACTCTCTTTATGACTCTTGCTGGGTCGGTCGATTGTGGGGTCAAACCCTTTGCTCTATCGACTTCAATGACAAGTTCTCACGTGTCACCGGTGAGTGCGATAGAATGCACTAGGAGGAACCCTACTCCATCAATTATCTTCATGGAGCTTGATTTTAATGACATTGGACAAATCAACTTATTCTACATCATCCTCGTGGACGGTTTTTCCCTCCCAACAAAGGTGATTCCTAGGGATGGAAATTGTTCAATGACAGGTTGCTTGGAGACTTGAGCGTGACCTGCAAAGAGGTAATGGCTTGGAAACAAACATGTCAAAATGCCTAAGGTTAATGCTCTTCAAGAGTGCATGTGATTACGCTGTTGGATATCCTAAACAATCAATTTTTTCAGTAAATAGTAAATATATTGAGCAGTTTGTAGTAGAACAAGTGTCGTATTCACAAAAATTTGACAGAATATGCAAGGTTTTAAAAGGTGTATTATGTCGGAACAATCGATACCGTTATAGAGTCGCGCAGCGAAATAAAATATTCGGAAAGCGTGTTACGGTCACAAATCAAGTTTTGATGGTCCGTTTTAGAAAATACAATTTTCTTAGAGAAAATTTATCAAACAATTGATATGCGTAAAATGTAAAGAGTATAGAGAGCAAGAAAATTCAACACAGAATTTTTATCCTGGTTCGATTAAAAAGAATCTACGTCCAGTTGTTAATCACTATAAACAGTGATTAACGTTTTCACTAAAATCAGTTTCAACAAATTACAATAAAAGTGAATAAAAATAAAGAGATAAAACCTTCCTTCGACACACAAACTGGAAGCAAGCAATCTACACTTTCCTTCGACTGACGAAACGGAACAGTGCAGAACGGTTCTTCCTTCGACCAACGAACTGGAAGCACAGTAGCGTTGCCAACTCGAAGAGAATCGCTCCGACCTTTGACCCACAAAGCGCGAGCTTCTCCTTTTCACGAGAATCCGTTTTAAATATACAAATCAATAAAATAATAATATATAATTTATCATAATTCAGAAACACGTTGATTTCACCAAACTTTTCACTCAGGCATTGTCACTCACGAAACTCGTGAAGTTTGTCGTAGGAAAAGACATACAAAATTTATTTTACTTGATTGATAAGTGTTTTTAAATTTTTTAGTTATGTAACACTTTAAACTTTTTATTTATATTCATTTTAACGTTGCATGTAGTGACAAATTTATTTTATTATCTACATTATTTTATTTAACAAATGTTTCATAAATTAATATTTTAATAATATAATATTGTTTTAAAACATTTTTTATTTATATTAATTTTACTATTATATATCTAACATCCCAAAATATAACATAAACTATATAATAGTTATCACACGTTTCTTATAAAAGATCAGTTGGAAAAAGAATTATAAACTAAAATTTACAATCATCCAAAATAGCCATAAATTTAAAACTTTATATACAACATAGTTATACAAAACTATGTACAAGAATGGTCATCTCAACCGCAAAATAGAAGAAAGCTAAAAAACCATATAAATCTACTACTACTACAACGGAGCATCATAAACATCTCCCACAATAGCTTGCTCCAACAACAAATCATCACGCTCTACTCATACCCACCAGATGATCATCGCCAAACCAAACAAAGGAAACATAACAACAATACAAACAAAATAACAGGGTAAGCTAGATTCAAAACATTACATCATATCAATAAAAATATGTCACATAATAAACATACAAATAACATGGATCAACTCAAACATCTTAGTGTAAAAGACCTAGACCGACTGTCTGGACTTAGAATGAATGTTGAGCTATGATGAGTTATATGCACTTGTGGTGGCCACTACTGCTTTGCAAAGCCCTTGCCAATTGGGTTTCACCCTACCACACATCACAAGGTTAGTTTGTACCGCGTCATAGGCCATACTGAAAGCACCTAGACTAAGACCTCCTGCTACTCTCACCACATGCGCCAAACCTCTCTATATGAGAATATATGACCATTAGAGTGTCAGAAAAACTCCTAAAACTGAGCTACCTGCATTCATTCTAACACACTGAACCACACCAAGAATTTCCACCTTGGAACCAACCTTTCCAACCTTGAAACCAATGATATCACTTCACATTCAAATAGTATACCAATACATGATACTACTGATCATACATCAAATAAATAAAAACAATCATACAAGTCATCAGAAATCATACAATAACACAATTTCTTCATGGCATATTGATAATCATATTTAAGTAAGGAAAACAACTCTGAAACCCTCACCAACAATTTCGGAAGGGTTCAAAACCCCAAAAACGATATAAAGAACGTCACAGACATCTAGAACCCAAAAAATGTTGTAGAACCCAAAACGATATAAACATATGTTGAAGCTAAATTAAACACTTTGTACATTTGTGCCATTTGATAGATACTCAAAGCGTTATTTTGAGAAGTCTTTATCTTTGGGCCACGGGTCTAGCTTGTGGGAGGATGGATGGACGAAATAGAAAATCGAGCTTAATACTTGAGATTTTTGTTTATGAACTTTCATTATCTGAGCGTGAACTTATTTCCTTGAATTTTTGTCGACCTTTTTGACCTAGGACAATTTCGCTCCTAAGAGGTAGCTCTACATTGGTTCAACAAATGAAGGTTGATCGTCATCTGAAACTCTGACCTAGGATCAAGGTCAAGAGTGTTGTTGTCTGAGTCAACCTTTTTGCCAATGATTAGTAAAGATTGCCCAAGGTGACTGCACTGTTCATCATATTGTGGTTGTAATTTAGTGGGACGTGTTCCTCTATTGTTCTCGTTTGAATTGATTGTTGGTGCTTACTAAGCTGGTAGGTGGCATGTCTGGCGCTACTTTCAAACTCATTGTAATAGTCCCTTGTTTCCTTTGTGTCTTCTTTGATAGTGACAATAGCCCTGAGCTGGTGAGAGCGTCCGCGAGTTCTTTTTTATTTGGGTCGAGTTGACCTACTCTGGTTTCTTTCTAGGTGAGGAGACTAGTCTTGGCTTCCACACGACCCTCATCATGTTGATGGGTTGCATTTTACTTGGGAATTTTGTGTGTTTTCTTCTTGGGAGTTAAGGTAAGGTCGGGTAGTGACTTCTTATTCTCCATAGCGATGAGCTTTTGTTTGAAATTCTTGGTGGTCGATCTGATGTTGACTATGTAGGGCTTTCAACTTGACATCGTAGTGTTTGTGCTATTAATCGTTTTGCTGGATTAGTCTGCACCTTAGATACTGAAGGGTTGTCACCAGGTTATATTGCGTTTTGTGTGAAAGTTGAGCTTCATTTAAAGTTGTGACGCCATTATTCGATTTGACACCATCATTTTCCTATTCCCTTGAGGAAATTGTTCTCTAGGTAATGACAGTTAGTATGACGTGAGGATATTTCCACAAAGTCATATTTGCACTTTTCAAAAATGATGATGACGATTTCTTTCATCACTGTCTCAAACCTAGACCCAAGCTTACTGGTTGGCCAGATAAAAGCATGTTCCAATGTTATGATGATTGTTGAGTCTTGGTCCTTGGCACCTATGCTGTCAACAAGCATGCATATCATTGGACCTTTGCCGAGTCTTGAGGCATGGGTACAACCGTAGCATTATCCCATTGCATTTCTGGTGATGACACACCTTAATGGTTGACAAAACCTTGGGCATATAATGATGTGCAGAACTTCTCTTGTTACTGTTGTCATTCTCTTCATCTTTACAACATGATGTTCTAATGTAACAATTACAAAGGAAGGTTGTGAAATGTAGTTTGTTGGTACAAATCTTCCCTTCTTGATTTCCTTTTTCTCTTTTCCTACTCTGTAATCGTTTCTGCTTCTACAGTGTTTTCTCCCTAAACCTTTTTTTGAAATCCCTCTTGTCTTTAGTGTTAGGTATGAGTTTGTCTAGGATTTACCACTTATGACTATGCTTAGTGGAGTCTTGTCGAGCTTAACATGATCCTTGCTGAGCTTCATTAAATATGGTCGAGCTCATCAATTCAGTCTTGAATCGTGATGGTTGACCTCTCCTTTTACTATTTTATTCATTCTCTTAATCTCTACAAAAGGGAAAGATGAGATGTTGGCATCGATGTTCTTGATGATATCGTCAATAATGAGACGAAAATGATGGTCAAGACCATCAAAAAGGCTTCTCATGTTAGTGAGTTCCATGCTTGTGAGCCTTGCTTATTTTCGAGAATCAATACTTAATATAGTTAGCAGTAAGAGAGGAAAAGGCAACATAGTTCATATGTGAATGCAAGATATATAGTTATACTTGGGCTCCATGGGTGCCAAATGTTATTACAAGAATGTAGAGCATGGCCTTTAAATAGGTAAGGGATTGTGATTGGATTGGAGAATACTTCTCCTAAAGATTGAAAAGTGGAAAAGATTCATCCGCAAAACACTCTTCAAGGCTAAAGTCTATATAAGTAGAATCTTTTATGTATAGAATAATAAAGGTTTAATAGGTTCGGAGGTCCCTATATCTGCGGGTTCGTTTTAATTGGGTCCTCCAATTTTAGAAATGATCAATTGGGTCCCTAATTTGGTCAATTTAATTCAATAATAGCCTTTCCGTTAAATGCAGTTAACGACGTTAACTTTTTTAACATGTGGCAAGCTGAGACATCCAGGTGGCACTGTTTGAAGGTCAAATCCCTGTGTTCTGAGTTAATCCTTGTATTTGAAGGTCAAATCCCTATGTTTTTTAAATATTTTTATAAATCCATGACCAAATTGTAATATTTGACGTTTATACATAAATCTTTTTTCACACTTTTTTCTCTGTTCCAAAAAACTGAACAAATAAAATAAAAACTATCTTCTCCAGAGGGTTGACCATAGACGAATCCATCGTTAGCCAAAGTAACCGACCGAGGCATCGGCACGGAAGATTCCTCATCGCACTTCGCGAATATCAAGGGAGTGGGGACCACCTCGTTGGGGTCGAGGAGCTCCACCCAGAGCGGGGAGGAGAGGAACCAACCCTTGTGGGTTTCGGTCGTGATGACACGCGAAAAGACGGGTCTGCCCTTGTAGTAGAGGTCCACGGCGGATAGAAACTCCGGCGGCAACTGCGGTGGGTTGGGGTGGGGAGGAGGGGAGTATTGGATGGAGGGAAAAGAGTCGGAAAAGACAGAGCGGTGGGCAGCGGGGAAGGTATCGATGAGGGAAGAGGCGTGGGGTTGGTTGAGAGAGGGCCAGGAAGCGGCGCAGATGGTCCGCCAGAGGTTGTGATCGGTGCAGAGACGACGAAGGTGGAGGGTGGCGAAGGATGCGGAGGCGAGGGTGGGGCCGTCGAGGCGATTAAGGATGTGGGATCGAATGATGTCGGGGTGGAGAGTGGTGATGTCAGAAGAAGAAAAAGAAGAAGTGGCGTCCATGGATGGCATGAGAAGAGAAAGTAAGAATAGTGAGAAAATAGAAATTTTGAAAGCGTTGTATGCTTACTTGGTTGGGGTTGCAGTGAGAAGGATAAGGATTATAGATACGATGGTTTTGTTATATAGACGAATCCACTGTTAGCCAAAGTAACAGACGAATCCATTGTCAATAATTTAAAAATGTTAAACAGTGCGATGCCTCACCTTTCCACATATTAAAAAAGTTAATGTCGTTAACTGTATTTAACGAAAAAGCTATTATTGAATCAAATTGATCAAATTAAGGACTCAATTGATCACTTCCAAAATTGGAGGACTCAATTGAAACGAACCCACAAATATAGGAACCTCCGAACCTATTAAACCAATAATAAATATGAGTTTCAAAGTATTATGATGAAATACTATATGAGAGCTCAATTTCATTTACGTAGTTTAAATGGATGATATAAAGGAAAGAGAAATAAAAGTCAAAATTGATAAACCAAAATTTATATTCCGATTCAATATTTATAAATAATTATTTTTTGTTTTTTCAGATAATATTTTTTAGGGTTAAATATGTTTTTAGTCCCTTAAGTATCACACGATTTTGGTTTTAGTCCCTACTCGAAACTTTGATGGTTTTTAGTCCTCATAGTCTTGAAACTCTTACTATTAGTCCTTAAAATTGGACGGCGTTAACTTTTAGCAGACGTGGCAAACGACGATGTTACGTTTTATGTTGTTTAAGTTTTAAAATGAGATTAAATATGTTAAGTGTGCATTTGGTTCGTCATCTATTATTTGGGTTCTTCTTCGTCAACGCAGTTCGGGAAAAAGAAAACTGAGGAGGTAGATCTGAAGGTTGGAGTTCGTCTTCGAGAAGGTAAGTTGATACGTTTTGTTAGCCCTCATGTACATCACCTCCCCATCACCTCCATCGCTATTATTACTCACTTGCAAAACACCTGCACCCATTGAAATTGGCTCCACGGCCTTTAGGATTTCCCATTCTTTCGCTCCACATTCTCTTCTGGTGGCAAAGCCACACTTTTTGCCGTTCCAGTAGGTCCTCCACACGGACTCCTGAAGCAACCTCAAACTCTTCTTCTCTGACTCTTTGTCCTTGTCGCATTCCAGCGCGATTCAGACCAGCCCAGAAGCCATTTCCCGAACCAAACCGGTTATGGGTGTTGCAAGCTCGTTGAGGAAAGCGGGTTGGGAACTTGGGTCCTTCTGGAAGGCGAAGTGGACATGGTCGCGATGGTAGCAGAAGAGGGTGCCGACCACTCGAGAGTTGAATTTGTGGGTATTTTATTTGAAGATGATGGGAACCTCATATAGAGTTGAATTACTGTTGGGGTTCTGTAGCACGCCACCTGTTGGAAGAAAAGCCACCTGAACAACAGGTTCAGAAGCATACATTCTTTTTGTGTGTGCCTGACTCATATTTTGACAAGCCATAATGGTAGTGTTAATTGTTTAAAGGAAAATTCTTCTACGAATGAAATTTTTCTTAGCATAAATATATTCTTAGGAGTTTACGTTCTTAGCGAAGATTTTCTTACTAGTAAACAACCACAAACAGAAAATAGAAATTTTAAAAAGACTCAATAAAAGACATCTTGTTTATTCATTATGTATAGTTCAGTACATGGAACTCAACTTGAGAATAATCTTGTACGAAAAATGCAAGATGTGCCATACACTTTACTCATTAAGATTTTGATATAAATCAAAATTTAGTATTAAACCTTTTGGAACTGCACTCTGTATGGGTCAGAAGTTAGAGCCAAACGCTTGCCATATTGGTCCTGATATATTCCAATATCACTGCATGGATAATTGCAATAATTGCACACACTTGGACAATACACCATCTTGTAAGCATCCTCGTACTTCTCAATCTTGAACCAACTTTCGATGGTTTGAGAGCCAGGATTGCCCAAAGCGCCACCAGTTGAGACAAACCACAGTGATGTTGAATAATCATAGTCCTTAAGCTTCCACACTGTGGAATCTGGACAACCTGTGTAGGTGGCGAATAAAATGTTGAGATCAGTGGAAACGCGAATCACACCTTTCTTCTCATTAACAGGTAGAAACATAAATTGGAGGCCTTGGTAACCATCAACAACTACAAGATCAAGAGGGCAATCTTGACCTGTGGTTGAGAGGTTAAGGCCACCTGAAGGCCGTGGAGCCAATTTCAATGGGTGCAGGTGTTTTGCCAGTGAGTAATAATAGCGATGGAGGTGATGGGGAGGTGATGTACATGAAGGCTAACAAAACGTATCAACTTACCTTCTCGAAGACGAACTCCAACCTTCAGATCTACCTCCTCAGTTTTCTTTGCCCGAAAAATGCGTTGACGAGAAGAACCCAAATAATAGATGACGAACCAAATGCCAATTTAACGTACTTATCTCATTTAAAAATTAAACAACATAAAACGTAAACTCGCCGTTTGCCACGTTGTAAAAGTAACACCGTCCAATTTTAAGGACTAATAGTAAGAGTTTCAAAACTATGAGGACTAAAAACCATCAAAGTTTCGAGTAGGGACTAAAACCAAAATTGTGTGATACTTAAGGGACGAAAAACATATTTAACCCTATTTTTTAATTAAAAAAACAGCTAAGTTTAAAAACCCTATCAAATAAAATAATGGTTAAATTTATAAAAAAAATCACTTAAAAATAAAATTATACCAATATAAAAAAGAAAAATCCTTTTTAAATATAATATAAATTATTATACAATTATATAATCGTACTGTAGGATTGTCGCAACCGGAATCGCGACGGGACGACAATCCAAAAAAGAAAACGGGTTTTAGAAAAAGAGATTTTGGAGTCGCCACCATAGTTTATTCTGGAAAACTACGGAAAAACCATAAAATGATAAGACATGGTCCACGAAAACCAGATTTGGGTCCGGGAGTCGGTTTACGTGTAGGGAGGTGTTAACACCCTACAACGCCTGCCCTAAGGCAGTACCTTTAACTAAATACGCGAATATGATGTGGTTTCCAAAATGTTAACTATCCCCTAAAATAAAACTTTAAAGAAACAAAAATATATTTTTTAGTTTTTTGGGCCCGACAAGGATTGACCTTGCTCCTACGTATTCTCATTCAAAATGAGAAATCAGGGTTACGTAGTTCTTTTGAAACTGCTTGAGAAGTTGTTTGGAAATTGTTTTAAAAATTTGTTTTGAAATGATTTTGGATTTTTGGGAAGTGAACCTGACAAGGGCTAAAGATTGTTTGTTTGCTTGAAAGTGTTGATGTTTTTATTTTTTGAAGATTTTATATTTTTTGGTATTTTTATAAAAGAAAGGAAAAAGGTTTTCAGCACAAGGACGATGCGAGCGATCACACATGTGCTAGCCTTTAAAATATATTTTTGTATTTTATTAAGAAAGAGAAAAGGTTTTTTACAACAAGGACGATGCGAGCGATCACACTGCGCTTAACTTTTGTACATATTTTTTGAATTTTATTTTTAAGAAAGAGAAAAGGTTTTTAGCACAAGGACGATTCGAGCATCACACATGCGCTAACCTTTTGTAACATATTTTTGTAATAATTTTTATTTAAGAAAGAGAAAAGGTTTTTAGCAAAAGGAAGATGCGACGATGATCACACATGCGCTTAACCTTTTTAACATATTTTTGTAATTTTTATAGTATAAAAATAGTATTTACAAAAATATTTAAATAGATTATAAAAATAGTAATAATAGTTACGTAAAGGATTTATATAAAATAAGAATAACATTTACTAAGGATTTGAAATGAAAGCAATGATATTATTTACATATCATTTATAAAATGACATATTATTTACATAAGTATTTAAAATGAAATTATAAAATATTAAAGTAAAAGTACTATTTAGTAAAATACGTTTAAGGATGAGACGACTCTAAAATTGAAACAAATAAAAATTATTCTATAGTATTAAAAGGGACACTTAAATAACTAAGAACAGTATAAGGCATTTTTGTATTGTTAAAATCAATAAAAAAAACTAAACAATCGAACAAATTTTATTATTATTTGTGCAAACGGAGATGCATCAGATGTCTTAAAACCATTTTTTAATTTTATAATTTTATCTTCTTTTTTTTCTTTTTTATTTATCCTTTTTATTGATTTTTATAGATATTTTCATTAGAAAAAATAAGTGTTGCGAAATGGAAATACCGCGGACAAACAAACAACAAAATAAAATACAAGGCAAAGGGGTGGGGATATCTTAAAAGAGGTTTCATGGCAGCAATAAAACAAAAACTAATAATCAACAAAAACACAACAGCATAAAATAAAATTCAAACAACAATCAAAACAAAAAAAGACTCAGAGAGAAAAAACCAGGGATGTGTGATCCAGAACACGAGGATAGGGGTGCAGCAATGAATTTGTAGGGGTGTGGTGAATGTTGGTGCCGAAGACCCACTTTATTCCCAAATCAGAAAAGCGCTTAGGATTTCTTCTTCTTCCGCGTAGAACCAAAGGAGGCTTAGGAGCTTCTTCATCGTCCACGGCAGCTCCATGGCTCCAGACACGCGTCGTCGCACATCTCTTGGCGATCAAAAGTCGCCGTCGGTGCTATCTTCTGCGCCGGAAACGTTGCCGCCGTTCGTGGCGCAAGCTGCCGCTACCACCAAGTCAGGGCCGTCACTTCTTCGAACCAGCCACCGCGCCACCACCCTCTATCGGTCTCGGCGTCGACGGCGACCTCAGGCGCCACCAGAACCGCTGCCGACCGCGGCGCCACTGCCTTCTCTCGTCTCCCTTTAAAAACGGTAACCCAGGGAGGGGTTCGCCTCTGCCAGCTTACGCACACGGGCCGCCGCCTCCATCCGTGGCAACCACTGCCTCCGATACCACACCGTCGCGTCCCCGGCTGGACAAGAAATATCGCCGACGACAACGCCAATGTTGGAAGCGTTGTCACCCTTCACGGGTCTCCTTCTTCGCCCACCTCCTTCTTCACGCATGGGACGAAACGCCGCCACCGCGAGACATCGTCGCCGCTAATCGCCCTCCACTGTTGCCAGTTGCGGTCAAAGCTTTACTAGAAGCAACTTAACTTCATCGTGCCTCTCAGTATTCCTGTTTTTGATTCGTTTCCTTCTTTTTTATGGTTTGGATTTCTGGATTCTTTGGATTCTGCATGGTTCGAAAACATGGGAAAGAATGACTTAGGTATTCTGTTGGGTGATTATGCAAGTAGAGGTGGAAAGAGGTGTTGGAGGAATGAAGAGTAAGATGAAACTGAATCGAATGGGGGAGTCTAGAATATTTGCCTTCAGGCCGCAGTGACGAGATATGAGAGGTGAGGGAAATCCAATACTTAAGCTATGATGATCCGGTGTTTAGGAAGAAGGTAGTCTAAGCTTATGTTACGGTGTTGAGATAAAAATGAAGAAGAAAGGGACGAAGATGATGAGTGTTGGAGGTGAGGAACAATGGCTTTCTGTGATGCTCGTGATGGAGGAAATGGTTTCGGAGAAGGTCTCTCTGTTGAGTGAGTAGAGAGTGAATAGAGGAGTTGAGACTAAGAAGAGTGTCTTTTTGAATGATGTTGGTGCCCCCTTTCCTTTTCTGCTCCTCCCCGTTTCATTCCAAATGTTTTTTTTTCAATGTAACTGTCTCCTCTGGTAAATTGAAGAACTTTTTTTCTTTTTCGTTTCCTCTGCACTCTCTTTTAACACTCTGCAATCCAGCCACTGCTCCCATGGTCAGAGAAGACCTTTGCCTTTCTTGTAATCCAGCCAAAGGAAGGTAGAGCAAGTCCGCACATGCCTGAGCCAAGTACTCCCATCCAAAAAGGAGATAGCGTGAAAGCAAAGAAAAGAAAAAGAAAGCAGTTCAAAAGTTGACTTTTTAGATTTTTTTTGTCTTATCCATTTTTAACATAAAAATTAAAGAAAAAGACGATAAAGAAAAGACTAAATCAAATAAAGTGAAATAACAAAAAAAAAAGTAAAATAAAGTAAAATAGAAACATAACTTGAAAATAAAAATGAAAGAAAATAGCATAAAATAAAATAAGACAAAAGGATTATATCTTAAATCATTTCTTGGCAGTCAAAGTCGTTTTATTTGCTTTTCATCCACACAAAAGGTAGGTCAAGGAAGAATGAGGCGTCATTGGTCCCATTGAGATCGATCTATTATTTTTGGTTATTTATTTTTGCTTTTGAACCAACTAGCTAGTCCCCCCTTGAAATCTTATTTTTGTTTGATCAAAGTACGAGTATCAGTGGATCCTATTAAAATTGTATTTTTGCTTTTGGGTGTGTTGTGTTTAATTGAGGATTTACTATCACTTAAAAATAAAATTATACCAATATAAAAAAGAAAAATCTTTTTAAATATAATATAAATTATTATACAATTATAATCGTTCTGTAGTTCTGTAGGATCATCGCTACAAAAGTCTCTGTCAGTCTGTGAGGAAAAACCGTCTATTTGCTTTGAGCAGTAATACAATGAATGTCAAACACTCTGGCCGTGTCAAAGTATTCTTTTTCATTTGGTTTTCATCAAAAGTCTCTGTCTGTGAGGAAAGACAGTTTATTTGCTTTACATGACGCAAAGGTTTCTACTTCTAATTCTTTATGTTTATATAAAGTCACATTTTCAAGTGAACCAAACCAATCCTCGAGTTCAATATTACCTTCTAATCTGTTACACTACATCTCTCAATTCTTTGTTCATTTGCCGTTCATCAACTATGATTTCTTCAATTAAAACCCTTTCCATATTGTTATCTGTTTTCTTCTTCCTATTCCCATCAGGTACAGGATTATATTCAAGGACTTTGACCGTTACCAACAAATGCACCTACACAGTATGGCCAGCAGTTTTATCCGGCATTGAAAGCTCCCCGCTACCTACCACGAGCTTAGCCCTCCAACCAGGTGACTCCAACACTCTCCCTGTCCCTCCTGCTTGGTCCGGCCGATTGTGGGGTCGGACCCTTTGCTCCATCAATATCACCGGCAAGTTCTCATGTGTCACCGGTGATTGCGGGACGTCAGAGGTAGAATGCACCGGCAGGAACCCGACCTCACCAGTAACACTGGTAGAGTTTCATTTTGACAGTATGTCCCAGATGAACTTATACGACATCAGCCTTGTGGAAGGTTTCAACCTTCCGGTGAGAGTGGCTCCCACGGGTGGAAAGTGTTTGACTATGAGTTGCTTGGAGGACTTGAACAGTGCTTGTCCCACGGAACTTAAGGTGATGAGGAATGGAGAGGCAGTGGGTTGCAAAAATACCTGCGAAACTGAACCATGCCTCAATTCACTGCTTTTTAAAACGGCTTGTTCTGACGCTCACGTGTACCCTCACGATGATGCCTTCGTCACTTGTTCATCTTCTCATTATACAATCACTTTCTGTCCCACAAAAAGGTAAATTTTCTTCTCAAATTCATGAACAAAGATAAACTCTTTTTTATAATATTGGTAGCTTTTTTTTCATACTTGGAATTGAAATAATTCTTACAGGCATTTATGAGACCAAATATATTTTACGTCATCCGAGATACTGTATTTTTCGTTAAGTAATCCAGCCAGAAACAGAAAAAAAATGGTTCTTATATTCGGTGTCGTCTTGATTTTTTGTGGTTGACGTTTAAGGATATATACAGTACGATTTGGTATCTCGAATATATGAATTCAATTAAAATTTAAATAAATATTTATTTGAAAACTATAAAATGTAAAATACTACTGTGATAGAATTGTGTGTTGAAGTGACGAAGGTTTTCCAAGATATTAATAAAATAAGTGTTTGTCATATAAAATAAGTTATATTAATTTATTGAGAATTGTGAGTTTATACATACAAATTAGTTTGATGATATATTTATGGTAAGTTTTGGATTTAAGATTTTATCATTGTTTTAATTTGAGTTTTATTCTTGTTAAATCCCTCAGTAAATATACTTAAAAGATTCATCATAGTTTAAAATAATAAATTCTTATGGTGATACAAAATTATAATGTAGAAAGCGTGTAGACATTGATTTTGAATTTTTGTGCAGTTGGAGTAAGGCAGAGAACGAAAAAGAGCCTGCAGGAAAAAACGTAGCGAAATACACAGTGGTGTTAGCTGTTATTAGTGTTATTTGTGGCTTGATAATATTCCAAATAAGATTACGTTTATCAAACAGAGATTGGGAATTCAGCTTTCGCGCAGGAACAATAGAGCTGACACCACAAATAGCGTCCAACGCATAATAGTTGAAGGTTAACGAGCCACTTCTTGTTGTATGTTTTTTTTACTGGTGTGTAAGTTATTTTTCTACTGTTACTGTGTCGTTAAATTTGGTTGTTTCTAAATACCAATTTTAGTGTATACCTTGTATTCTCAGAGTTAGCCTGTAGACACCATTGGGAGCAGGTGTAAATAAAGTAAGAATGTTATGATGTAACACTATTGTCCGTTGTAAAGTGTCTGACATCCTGTCTTTTAATGGTAAAGGAAAGATCCTAAGTATAATAAACGCAATTTCATGCATGCATTCATTCTTTATATATTTGGGAAAAGGTAACTTTTAACGCAGATATGAGAGAGAATGGGAGGAGATTTGAAAAGATTTGAAGATAAATTTTTTTGTTATTTATTTGAGTAAATTTAGAGATAAATGAAAGTGAATTTGAAAATAATTTTTTTTAATTTGTCACGTTAATATAATTCTATACTAATTTGTCACGTGTTCGGTTATTTTTATCAAATTCTTTTAAAATTTTCATTTTGTCTTCGATGGCGTTTTTGGAAAGAATGTTTAGAAATCTTATGGCGCCTTTTACTTTCTGAAATAATATTCAGAAGAAAAACCTATTTCTCTCTTCGAAACTCTCTCACCGAACTGTCTCTCCGTCACCGAAGTGTTGTGTTCTTTCATCGCTTGGGTCCACCGTTGTCTCTAGAGGAAGTCGTTTCTCTCTGTCCGCCACTGAAGTGTTGTCTCTGTATCGCTTGAGTCCATCGTTCGCGTCATTTCTCCAAAGATTTCATTTTTTCGCTCGCGTCGTTGTTCCTTCGCCAGTTGGGTGCATGGGTCACTTTGTTTGCCGCGCACATTTCGTCTTTTCTCTAAAGGTATTTTTTTTCGTAGACTATTGTGGTTTCGCTAATTTATTTGCACACCACTATGGTTTCTTGGTTTGACCGTGGTTTCTTCATTTCTTTGCACTCTATATCACGCATTGTTTGTGTTCACCCATTTCCCCCTATTTGGGTGGTTTGACCGTGGTTTAGAAAGCGGTTTTTCTCCCAAGGTTTGGGGTTTCCGCACACGCCGTCGAGGTTGGTATCATCATTACTTGAATATTTGATTTTGTATATTGGACATTTTGCAAAGTTTACAAAATGTATTGAAATGTTTCTTTTGCCCTTGTTTATTTGTTATTGTAGGTTATTATTTGATTGAAGTCATTAGTTCAGTTCAAACCGAAATGGAATCATCTAATAGCAATGTAAGTAGAGTTTAAACATTTATGTTATGTTTGTTGTTTTGGAACACTGATTTGAATGTGATAAATTTGGACTGTTTTATAGTGACGTCTTCGAGCTTGGATGGATACATCCTACATTGTCAATATCAATTGCTTACTACGAGTTAGACATCACACGCCCATTGGACAAACTCCATTTAAGTGGTGTTTAGACATTGCAGATCCTTTAGAGGCCAATTTAAAATTGTTGAAAGAGGTGGTATGTTAGTGGGTTGGCCACCATCAATCGTTTAGAGTTCTATCATCATTTGGTTATCAAAAAAATGCTGAAAGAATATGAGTTCACAAAGATGACATTGACAATGTAGAACAAGAAGTAGGAAATGAAGAACCACAAGTCGGTAACGAAGAACATAAAGTCCGACAACCCTCTCAAAATGCAGAACAAACCTCTTCTGCAACATTGAGTGAAGTCATCAAACAAATACAAGATCAAAATTCATTCTAAGAAAACATTATATATAAGTTTAAGAAATCTTATTTTTCAAAAAAAATATTTCGAAAGTTAATATTTTCAAGTGTTATAAAAAATTTCTTTTGAAAATTCTATTATGGAAATCCTATTCCTAAAAATCTGTTTTGAAAGTCACATTTCAGAAATTCTAAAAAATTTGTTCTTGAAAATTTCCATAACAAATAATTCAAAAATCACTTTAAGAATAAATGAATTTGACATTTTAAAAAATTACCGGAGTGCAATTAGAAATTATAAAGGTCCAAAAAGTAAAAGCATGAAAAAAGGATGAGTATACGAGCCGAATTTTTTTTTTTATCTTATTTTCTTTCCATTTCTTTTTACTGTAACATAGAGAAAATTAGAAATTAAGATTTGTGAATTTTCAAAAAACGAAAACTAAATAACAATTTTAAAATTAAAAATAAAAAGTAAAAAAGAATAGAAGATAAAAATTGTACCTTTGAATGTTTTGGTCACGTGTTCTTTGTAAATAATGAGTGGTGACACATTGCATAACAACACAAATAAACTTATCCTCACATCTGCCACTGCATTGCCTTAGAAATCTCATCCACCCAATCTTAAAATCTTCCTCACTCATTCTTTTTCCTTTCATGCTTCACTGCACAAACATCGTATCATCGTTTCATCAAACGTTACTCTTTCTTTCTCTGTCTCTAGTTTTTACAACATGGCTACTGCGGTTACTGCTGCAGTTTCCTTTCCTGCTTCTAAGTCCACATCTCTTCCGACCAGAACCTCCATCACTGCCCCAGATAGAGTCCTCTTCAAGAAGGTAACTTCCATTCACATGTATTCAAGAAAAAGGTTGCAAATTTACCACTTCAGTGTAATTGGGGTATGATCCCGTTGTTTTCCTTCACAGGTTTCGTTGCAATACAGAGATGTCTCAGTGAGTGGAAGGGTGGTTTCAGTAAGAGCCCAGGTCACCACAGAGGCACCTGCAAAGGTTGAAAAGGAATCCAAGAAACAAGATGAAGGTGTGGTCGTGAACAAGTTCAGACCCAAGGACCCATATGTTGGTAGGTGTCTTCTCAACACAAAGATCACTGGGGATGATGCACCTGGAGAAACTTGGCACATGGTCTTCAGCACCGAGGGTAGTTTTTCCTCAATTTTTACCTTTTTTTTCATAACATGGATGTTGCTGTAGAAAAACCACCGTTTTTATTCAAAATATGTATAAATTCCGCTGTTTCAGGAGAAGTTCCTTACAGAGAAGGACAATCAATTGGGGTAATTGCTGATGGGGTCGACAAGAATGGCAAACCTCACAAACTGAGATTGTATTCTATTGCCAGCAGTGCCCTTGGTGATTTTGGAGATTCCAAAACTGTGAGTTTTTATCAAGCTTTTGTGAATGTTGAACTGTGTTCCAGACTCTTATAAATTTTCCACCTTAAAGAATTTGAGATTAGAATCCTCTATTTATATATTCAACAACATGTATATTCTGCAAGGATAGACATCATAGCAGTTAAATTTGCTCAATTATTTATCACTTACTTAAGACTTCAAACTTATTTACCATCTGATGTATATGATGCCTCCAAAACAGGTTTCTTTATGCGTGAAACGTCTTGTGTACACAAATGAAAACGGAGAACTTGTCAAGGGAGTTTGCTCAAATTTCTTGTGTAAGGATTACTGGCTTTAGTTTTTGTGTGTTTGTGTGTATATAATATAGGGTCAAAGGACGGAAGTCCAATGCAAAACTTAATTTTTATTCAAAAGTATTTATAAAATAATAGGTGCATTTTCATGTTATCCAAAGAATTCACTCAGTAATGTTAAAATAAATTATATCGGTCTTATTTTTTTTCTCCTTTTAAACTGTGTATACAAAATTAAGAAGTGCATGTAATTATTGTTTATAGTTGTCAATAGATGTACTTCATCAAGCAAATGTGACTTTTTTTTCTTTTTTTTTTCATTTTTAGTTGAAATTATATTTACTCACCTGTTGTCATGCTTATTCAGGCGACTTAAAACCAGGAGCCGATGTAAAAATCACTGGACCTGTTGGTAAAGAGATGCTTATGCCAAAAGATCCCAATGCCACAGTCATCATGGTACACATACCTAACCCTCTTCATCTTAATAGAAAAAGAAATATTTGAAAATTTTGAAAAGAACTACATAGAAGGCAAGTTTAATTTTTTATCCAAATATTTGCATTGATTTTTTATTACCATTACCATTGATCTCTATGAATTGTTTTTTCTTAGTTGGCCACTGGAACTGGAATTGCCCCATTTCGCTCATTTTTATGGAAAATGTTCTTCGAGAAGTATGATGACTACAAGGTAAGTGTACCAGGAGACTTATATGGTTCTTGATTCAATGAATATGACAATGTGTATAATTAATCATTTCAATTTCCTCTATTACTTTACGATCATCCAAAAAAATACACTCCAAAGAAAAAGGGGTTAGTTAGTTAAGTATTTATATATTGAAAGATTGAAGGGAAGAGTTACCATAGGAATCCAGAAAAGTTCATCTTTCAAAGGAGGAAAACTCTTAGCCTCGTATTTGCTGCATAAGAAACTAGTTAAGAGTTTTTAGTATTGTAAAAATTGTATTTGTACGAAATGAATGTTTGACGACTAATGGGGTCTGTGTAGTTCAATGGTTTGGCATGGCTCTTCTTGGGTGTTCCCACAAGCAGCTCACTACTTTATAAGGAGGTGAGATGAATCAAAGTACTGTTTTTATTGAGGAACATCTTCCACCATTTTGGTGTGTTGAATCTGAAGGCTTATAGATCTTTGTTGCACATGTATGGTGATGTGTGGAACAGGAATTTGAAAAGATGAAGGAGAAAGCACCCGACAACTTCAGACTAGACTTTGCTGTGAGCAGAGAGCAGACAAACGAGAAGGGAGAAAAGATGTACATCCAAACTAGAATGGCTCAATATGCAGAAGAGTTATGGGAATTGCTGAAGAAAGATAACACTTTTGTCTACATGTGTGGATTGAAAGGAATGGAACAGGGAATCGATGACATAATGGTGTCATTGGCAGCAAGAGATGGTAAAATATAACACTTTCCTTTTGGTTATAGTTAAGTCTCATCATAATTTCATTCAGTTGAGACTGGACTGAACTGAAACATGATGACGAAGTGTATTGAAAATCACTGTTCAGTTTGATTGTTCTAGTCCTGGCACATAATTAGAGAAATTTCTTTCATGTTGAGTTGGTTTTGTTGATGTAGGTATCGATTGGACTGATTA